GCGGATACCTACCGCAGTGTGTGCTGCTCTCGCCCCCCAGCCCACGTCCCATCCTCCCCACCCACCCCATTTCGTGCTCTGCGTTGCTGCTCTCCCCACCCTGCTCAGAAGTTGCAAGACATATCCTCCTATTAACATCACGCTCTCGCAAGCATCCCGGTTGCTTGCACCCGCAACTCCTCCACACCAAGGAGGGGCTGGATGCTGCCAGCATGCTGCTACCGACAGACCCCACCGAGGAAAAGGCGGCAGCCAGCTGCACTGCAGAGGAGCAGGGCTGTGCGTTTGTGGCCACACCTTGCCCTAAATACAGCTAGTTTCATGTCATTAACCATCAGCAAGTGACCAACACCAATGGCAGGCCTGGCCCTCAGTTTTTCAGGCTCCTCCAGCAACAGGGGCAAGGCAATGCCTCTGCAGAAGGGCCTGGCCCCTCCGCAGCTCTGTTTCGGCACAGTTTCCAGGGCGTTCCCACCACCCAGCTCTCATCCCCGGCTGCAGAGGGCTGCACGGATGCTGCCCGCACCGGGAGTGAAGCGCCAGGAGCCAGCGTTACCCCACTGCCTTGCCAGCTGGCTCCATGGAGCGAGATCCTCATCCAGCCCCTCTGCCACCCACCTCCGCTCGGCTCTTCTCCTTCACCTCCCATTTTCCTTTGCTCCTCCTGTTCTTCGCTGCTTCTCCTGCCGCCCCCTGCTTTCTCCTCCCCCTCTATCACACATCCTACTCCACATCTGCTCTCTCCCTCCTTCTCGCCGTTTGCATCTCCTCCTCCCAGCTCCCTCCATAATGCATTTCCGCAAGATACCTTTCTGCATTTAATTTCTAGTTTCCTTCTACCAGCCTTCCTGCCTCTTTCGGACGAGTTTGGACCTCACTTCGCCATCAAGTCTCCTCACTGCATGCATGGACTCCAAGGAGAGAGACACTGGCACCAACAAACTCCCCAGACAACCAGATGCCTCTTCGCCTCCACCTCAGAGCTCTTCCCTCTTTCTTAAACGCAAGCATCTCCGTGTTGAACACCCCACCACACCTCTAGTCCCCCCTTCGCTTACGTGAAGGGGGAAGCACCTTAGGTTTGGTGGTGGTTGACCACCCCAGGACACCTGTACTGGGGTTGGCAAACAACCTCTACAGCTAAACCAGGCTGGATTCACACCTACCCCTGCAGAATCCCAGGGCTGCCTCACACGGATGGGACCAAGGCTCTAAATTGGGAGCCAACCAACTCTGCAAGGGCAGGAGTGTGGGTTGCCAGTGAGATATGAAGAGGAGGAATGAAGGCCTTGCCCTGGAGGTGGCTCAGCTCAGCAGGAGAGCTGGGGTAACCCAGCCCTTCCTGCCAGGGCACATCCACCAGAGAGGGCTCCACTCCACTCCCTTCCATCCCAGACAGAGGTGGAGAGAACAAATCCTCTGCAGTTCAACCTTGAAAGCCCTGTATGACTCAGGGGCCTGCTTGTCTGGAAGATCCTTCTCATCCCATGACTCAACCGTGACAAGCATGGCTCACAAGCAAACCTTCTCTTGAGAGCACGTACAGATTAAATGCTCTCCTTGATGGTCCCTCAGCTCCCAGACTTGTCCCACCAAGGAATCAGAGAAGGTCCTGGTATGTGGACGCTCAGGACTCCCCAAGAGGGTGTAGTGGGACCATGGGGGAGGCTGCAGGAGTCTCTGACACAGAACAACTGGGCTGCTCCAGCTCTCATGACTGATGGAAACGAGCAGAGCTACCACAGGACAGGGTCTACTTTGTCATCTTATTTTACAGCCTGTCAGAGACTGTGCAGGCCAGAGAAGATGTGCCCTGCTTCTCCCTTGATGGGATGAACATCAGTCAAATCAGAAGAGCCAAGAGGGTGGGGAGAGAGACAAGAGGAAAGGAGGGAGGCAGAACAAGTGCAGAGAGATAAAGAGAAGGAGATGGAAGCAAAAATCAAGAGTTTGAGCAGGAACTACCTTTCTTGGACACTTTCCTCCCCTCCTTAACTGAGCTGTGTTTTTTAGAGGCTTTATGGGTGCTGGCAGCTTGCGGCACACAGGTGAGGTGCACGGGGAGTCCAGCGGCTGACATCAGAATAGCCGTCATGCCTACAGCGGGTACGAGATCAACATGCAGGAAGGAAACAACGGGGAAATACATTCATTAAAAAAAAAACTTTAACCTTTCAAAGAAAATTAAGAAAGATAAACCAAAACAAAACCCAAGCCCTTGATTCAGAGGACATAAAACATCCGAAAGGCCACGGGGTTGGAGTCAGCACAAGGACAGGATCCAGAGGCTTTTAAAGGGAGGAGCCCAGGCAGCAAATTAAAGCAGGGAAATATGGGCACAAGTCTCACCCGTGACCCTCTGAGCTGGTGTGTGAACAGGACCTTCCTCTTTACCTTGGCTTTAGGGCTCCTCAGGCATTGAGTCTGCTGTGGTGCAAAGCCCTGCTCACCGGAGCCCTGGAAGCAGCCCTGACCCCGGGGGCCTGAAAGATGAGAGGCATCACCTGTAACCCCTAAAGGTCCTGCTCAGCTACTCCCCCCTAAAGCTACGTGTTTCAAAGGGGTCGCACTGAACCGATCCCCAGAGTGCAGCTTAACTGCCTTCAAACACTGCAGCCGTGCCGGGCTGACCGTGGGCTGGGGCTGCCCCACGCAATCCCCTGCCAGACGAGCCCCGTGGTGGCAGCCCCCTGCTCACCCCACACTATCTCCTCCTGGGCACTCCAGTTTTTCCTAGCACCCCCAGCTGCGGTGCAATTCTCACCCTCCCCCATCCCAGCCAGCTGTATTCATGGGATGCAGTTTGTTAAAGCTAATGAATCATTAAAAAGGACAGCCATTCCCTGAAGGTAAAATTGGCACACAGAGAGCTACAGGACTGATCATGCTGATCTAATATGATGTTTGCCCACGAAATACAGGCCAGTTACAAGTCATAACATTTCTAAGGTAGCATATTGCTGTTAAACTCACATTCAAGAAAACACCTGCCTTTGCTTTCCCAAGAAATGACTTCCCCACCTGCAATAGCCATCGCCAGAACTAGGGAAAAAAAATGCTTATGGTTGCAAACCGACAGCAGACAACCTAAAAACCAGTGTTTCCCCAAAAGTTACCTCTGACAGTAGACCATGCAAAGCCACATCCTAACACTATGGAAATTCTTGCCAGCATCCTGCACAGTAATTCACGGCCAAAGCTGAGTTTTCTAAGGATTTTCTTTTTTCAAGCCTCTATTCATCCGGGTTGGGAAAGGAAGATATAAGAGCATATTTGTTCAGGACAAAAATGAGATACCTTGCCCAGACATGACTGAAAATAGAGTTATGACAGGAAATGTCAGCCAGCTTTGTGTACAAGTGGTAAGACTATGTTCTGCCTCAAACATGCAACCAGTCAAGAACCTGTGCCTTGTGACTAAAAATCCCCTGTGGAAACGCCCCACAAGCAGAACTACCCCTATGCAGTGCCGACCGTGTTTTGCACCTACTTCATGTAAGGTCCAAGCACAATAAATATTCCAGAACCTGTTCAAGTCCTTTCCTGATACACAAAGTTGGCTGGTTTTACTAAAACTTTCTCATCTAAGGACCAAAAGACAGACAGAAAGGGTTTCACAAGACGAGGAGAGGGGCACAGACAGATAACCTTGGGGAAATGACTTCATCCAAGAACCTTTGGCAGAGCTGGTCTGGCCAAAAGACCAGGCTGCCCAATGCATAGTGAAACCATGCGCTTCCAAATGGAAATAGGTAACACCAAACCAGGCAGCCGTGGATCATCCTCATTAGGTACCATCATTGTTGATCTATATCTGAGGTGGAGCCCCCCAGTTCCCAGGAGCTGTAGGGCCAGAGGAGGATCTTCAGAGCATGCAAACGCTGAGTTAGTACCCCTCACCCTACTGACAGCGCCGGGCTGTTCCCAGCAGGTACATCCAAGGAGAGCCCCTGACGTCGGTACAAGCCAGCAGGCCTCTAACTGAGCATTCAGAAATTTCACAATCAAAATAACTTCCTTTAAGTCTTGAACTAAAGACTACAAGACTATTGGTGTGCTCTCAACCCTGGTCTAAGCCAGCAGTCCTTCACTACTCCCAGGGAACCTTAAGCAGCAGCTTAAGTGTTTAAGTGTTCCCTTAACAAAAGCTACTTGTTTTCTGAGCAGGTGAGTACAACTGAACACCTGAAGCCCAGCAACAGCACCAAAGCTGCCGTCTGCGTGTGCACCGGGCAGGTAATCTCCCCTTTCAGCAGGTTAAAAGACAGGTGGAGGTATTCCTGGAAGAGCAGTACCAACTCACGCTGATTAGAGAGCCTGGAGGAACAATATTCCTGAAAACCAGGCAAGATGCTGGACCTTCCCATGGCTCGGGGAGATCATCTCAGAGAGCCTGACCCCACCGAGGCTGCCAATGCAATTCCCCAGAATTAGTGCAGAAAAGGAAATGGTAAAGTTGTCTCCGAAATACCTGCTTCTACGCAGAGCGATCACACTGATTGCAGAGACTGACATTTGAAATGCAAGTCCAAAGACTAACAGGGATTATCACCACCTACGCACAGCTGACTGATAGGCAAATGCAAAATTAACACTTTCTTCTTAAGAGATCAATAGTGTCTTGCTAACATTAACATGCAGAGCCCATTTTAAAAAAAAGAACACGACAGAAGCAGAGGCTGAACAACTGACTTCAGACTCTTAATGTCGGAGAACAAAATGCTGCCTTCAAAAATCAGACCAAGTGAAGAGCATGAGCCACAGAACCTCAGCTGAGTTCAGTTACCCTCTAACCTAGCCCCTCTCATACCTGGAATAACATGTCCAAAACTGCCTGCCAGCATCATGAATCATCGCAAAGAAAATAGATCTTTATTCCAGGAACTTTCACTCTTTCGTTTTATGAGCTGCAAATGCATCTACAACTCCACACAGACATAGAGCACAGGGCAAACGTGGGCCTAGGATGATTACCCCCAACCAAATGTTCTCCCATGGACAATCTTAAATCAGCCAAGAAAAGGTAATTTTCCACTTTTACCTTCTGCTGCCTTCGGAGAGACACACAATGCATCATCTTCTGCAGATTCAAATCAAGAGAGCATTCAAAAAGGGGCTGTTCTGGTGTTACCTTGCTCTTCTGGCTCATCTCAAAACCCAGCAGCAATGCCTCCTATAAAGCCCTAATACAACACTGGAAATCTCAGCATCCAACAATCCTCCCACAAGTTTGGTGAGAAACATCCGCAGTAAGGGATCTCGTGCGATCCAAGCCTTACATGGGAGTGTGTGTTCATACAAAGTGCCAAAACAATACACAGACACACATGACATCTGCAGATCGATTCTCCAATTCCGACCTAAGGACACAACAATTTCAATTCAAATTCATTGTAGGCACCTGTGGAGTTATCTCAGGAGCAAATCTGGCCCTGGACCTGCATAAATTCTCACCTGAAGACGCAAGGGCCAAGCCACAACAGGATAAGCTTGCCCAGACCAAGACTGCTTTGGATGCCCACGCGTTCCTGCAACGGTTCCTGCTGCTACCTAGCTACACCAGGAGCTTGAAAAATATTAATGAATACATTCACACTTTCTACTGGCCACTGGGCTTCTTCCCTGCAAGGATGGCAGGAAGGAAGAGACAGAAAGCCTTGCAAAGCACCCTTTGGCATCTGATCCGATCCTATGAATGTGTGCAATAAGCCCACTCAGAGAACTGCCTCTTTTCTCTTGCTCAAAGCATCTATTTGGCCAGAAGTACGCTACTGACTCCTTGGGGTGAAGCTATTTTCACTGGAGCTATGACAACATCCACCGGCTTTTCTCAGCCTGCTGTCTAAATAAGGCACTTTTGTAATATCCTGTGCAGAAGCTGAGCATGGGAAAAACACCCTTATGTAATGTAATGAGCGCTGACCACACGCTTGCTCACATACCCAGCCTAACATGCCCCTCCGGTCACCGGCTCTGGCTACTGATCTGTATTTGCACAGACCTCAGACCAGCATGCCTTTGGTTCCAGTCCTGAATTAAAGCAGGTAGAGGGGAAAGGCCAGAACTCGCCTTCAAATAACGTAAAATGTCAGAAAAGCACTGCTAATTTGTATGATTATATCCACCAGCAAAATTATTATGGTTGATACGTTCACAACTGCCCCAGCTCTAAGAATCCAGTGAAGGAGAAACACTTGGTTTCATTTAACAAAAAGCTAATTCCAGTCTTCATCTTAAAAATAGTATTAGAAGAGCCTTCATATGACCGCCTAGTACACCCCCCCGCCCCAAGGCACAGAGCTAAACCACATTATTCCCAAGAGATGTTAGTCCAGCTGATCCTTAAACACCAACACTTTTTTTTTTTTGCTCAGACCTCTGTTCTGGCATTTCACCATACTAACCAAATACTGAGGGGGAAAGAAAAAGCTTAAAAGCCAAGTTTGCACATGCACCTTGAAGTATTAAAATAGCAGAAAGCAAGGAAAAAGAAATTTGTTTTTTGTACAAAACATGATTTTAAAGTCAGCTTCATGATTTCTAGGATCCCAAGTGGTGCTTTTGGAAGATGGGGGGTTGACAGTGTTACAAATCCCTCACTCAAATCCCCAGGCGCTCACCACACAAACGAAATCCAGCTTCTCATTCAGACCCACAGGATGCCCTGTCTCCTGTTTATCCACCAGAAACTCCCTCTGCATTCAAGAAATGCACCTGCAGCATTTCTCGAGATCACCCACAAGATTCAGGGGTTTTAATTTCTCCTGCATCAAACCAGAGCCAAAGCTGCTGAGAGGCACCTCGGGATGGAGACCAAGGGTTGCGAGACTTCCCGACACGCTTCCCAGAATAAAACCTTCTTCAGCTCCTATCTGAGACTGCCCTCTCCCCCATGTCATCACAGAGCCCTTGGGTCCTCAGCCCAATGATGCTGAAGAAAGCAGTTGTGCACTGGGGACCGGAGGAACAAAAGGGGCCCAGCCTGTGTGTTAGAGAATTACCTGAATAATAAGTAACTCAAACACCATCTGCAGGATTTTAAATATGAACAAAATACCACTTCCCAAAAGAGGTCCTAGAAACAGACAGCGGAGCGTAGAGGGGAAGAAGGTGTCCCTAAAGACCCAGCCAATTAACCTTTCAATAAAATTTGGCCTTTTCACCAGAACTCCACTGCTTGCTTTTTACCAGAAATGTTCCCAGAGATGTATCTTCCTTTCACTTGCTAATTAACTTGTCCAAATCTTTCCTCTGCTTCTATGTGATTTTAAGGACAGACTGAAATTCAGATTTTTCTCCTCCCTTGCACCTCTGAGGTCTGTCACATTTGGCAGAAGGCAGGACAGCGCCGATCAAAGCCGTGTCCTATGAAGTCCTGGATCTGAAGGAGACGCTGGCCCCAGGGAGCTGCTTCTGCGCTGACCGCACTCAGCCAGCCCATGCACCTCTGCACTCCCCTGCAACTCAGTGTGCCTCTTGCTAGCTGCCTCATGGAGAGCTAGAGATTATTAAAATGAATAAGTACTCCCTCTTTTGAACCCCAGCCTCCAACAACAGAGATATCAATAAAAAACTTAACCTTTTCATTTTATTTTATTAAATGGTGGTAGATGGCTTATTCTACTGAGCTCTCCTGCAGCCTTTTATATCTAAACGGTGCACTACAAGGCATAAACAGACCATGCATATTCACCTCTTCCAAATGAACAGTGGATGACTTCCACATGTAGAATGAGATCACCATTAACAACATTAACATAGCCTGGATTCACCAGGGCTCTTCAGTTCTTTGCTGTATTTACCTTTATGTGATTAAGTACCTAATTACACAGTCAGTGCTAATACCCAGGGGATGAAATTCAGAGCTTTTATAAGCAAGGGGAGTTCTTCTGCTCAGGTCATCCACCTAGACGACATCTGAGCTTGACTTTACATCTCATTTCCACAAAGACCGATTTGCTAACAGGGAGACAGATGGGCTGCTCACTGTCAGAGGACACCCAGTATTAATCTTTACGCAGTGCCTGTTTGGCACTGTTAGAGACATGCAATGCACAGTTCTAACGATGGTACTAACATTAAACGACTGGAAACATCAATCCTGGGGATCATTTTTAGGCAGGGTAAGGCCTGACACTCGAGACGAGACCAAACACCATCACCTTTCCTGGAATAAGGTGGTAACCATTTTCTCTAAGAGTGAGAACGTAACTCATCACCTTTCCTGGAATAAGGTGGTAACCGTTTTCTCCAAGAGTGAGAACGTAACGGTCTCTATGTGCTCAGGAGCAAAGTTTGGTGTCCAAGGAGCTAATAACCTCAACAGAGCATGCATGGACAAGAGCCAGAAGAAGGAGAGTGTTAACAGATACTCTGTAGTGCCCGAAATGGGTACAGAAAACCCCAGAAAATACCATACACCAGGTACCAGGTGTTTTCCACTCCTCTAACCCTGGGTTACCACGTTACGATACAATTCCAAGTGCACAGTCGGTGTCAGTATGGAGAAGACATCTGCTCTCAGCAGAACACCCATCTCCTCAGGCACCACCACACCAGGGTCCCACGGTTTGGTGCTGGCTGAGTTAAAACAGAGCAAACGTGCCGATGGCTTTTGGCATGGAAACGCTTCCACTGAAAGCTGCAAGCGCGAGTTGTCGTTTTCAAGGCAACGCCATTTCATGTTTAACAGGCAAATCTACTCTGAAAAGAAGCATTGAAAACTGGCACTTTCATCCCTCCCAGACACGCTCCTCGGGTATATTTAGTATCATATTCACAGGTTTGGATGATAACAAGCAAACCTGTATTCTGCTGCCACAGGAGACAATGTCTGATTCAACTTCTGTCCTCTCCTTTCCCCAAGACAAAGCATCACAATCATTTTTTAAGCTAAAGACCACCTGAGTTTTTGTAATAAAACCATGTTAAAAAAAAAAATCACATTAAAAACCACACGCCGTCTCACATCACTCTTCCCCCTTGACTTGAAGAAAAGTAGCAAGTAACAGCTAGCACTGAGCTGGATCCATGTGCTCCCCCCTGCTACTTGCTCATCCACACCTATGGGAGAAGGTGAATACCCAACCCCCAAATAAACCCACTCATTTTGAGAGCCTCAGGACCAGCACCAATGAGAAAAAGTTACTAAGGTTTGACCATCCCATTCTCCCCCAAATTTGCCCTCTTTGCCTTTCTAAAGAGTCTTTGGGCCTAAAACCCTAAATGCCAGTGACATTTCAGACTCTTCCTAAAAACTAACACAGGAAAGTAAGTGCCACAGAAAGGTAAACCGCTTGCTCGCGTAACCCTAGGGACAGAGCGGGATCCTTACCTGCCAGGGCCTGGTTCACCTTGCTGGGTTTGGGCATCTTGACCGGCAGGTTTGGGGTGCTGGAGAGAGAAAAGAAAAAGGGACAAGTTCAACAGCACGGATCAATCACTAACAAAACAGAGACAATTCGGCAGTACACTGTTCCCTTCTGAGTGCCAGGGCCCTGGATACATTAACAGGGATTAATTACTCAGATGAGCCCCACCTGGGACCCCCACCCATGCACCCTTTGCCCACTGGTCCAGCAGCTACACTTAAGGAGCCCAGTCCTTGCCAGAGCTATCTAGTAGGTTTACTCATCTCCAAGGTGGACCTCAGACCTACATTGTAGGTAGCTGTCTCTAGCCCCATCTCTTCCTGGCCGGGTGCTGGGCCTGATTCATCCTTTCGTCTTGCTAGGGCCTGTTCGTGGACCCTATTGTCAACCCGTTGCTCTGGTCCTGTGATGCATCCCTGCTCTTGCTGCTCCGCTACCGAAATTCCCGTGAGCAGCCAACCTGCACTACAACAGACTGCTGCACCAGCAGGTCCGTGGCATGGGCACACAGCCAGGAACTGCCAGGATGCAGCAGACAAAGTTCAGGTGACTTGGTCTCCAGCCAGAGAAACACTGCTCACCAGAGCATGAACCCCCATGCTGTATGAGAAGCTGCAGCTGTACAGATCAAAGGAAGCAAGCACTATCACCCCCACTGCTTTCCAGATGGGGAAACTGAGGCAGAGAAAGGCCAAGAAAAGCACTCAAGCACACGCAGCTGCAGCCCTGGGTTGAACAGAATCAAGCCTTGACTCTCCCTGCGCATCCAAGAGTTTACTGCAAGATGTGGAAACAAAGGAGGAAAGGTTGAAGGAGACTTAGAAGAGTTTGGCACCCACCTTCCTTTGGACATCAAGAGGATTTGGACACCAAATAACCCCTCCAGGTTCCTAACCTACTTGTTTTGGCAGCGTTTCCTAGCACTGGCAGCTGCACCTCAAGCTAGTTTGGGATACATGGGCAGCCAAGGTCATGCAATTAGCTGACAGCAGGAGTTAGGAAGGAAAGGGTGAGCAGCAGCATGAAAGCTGATGAGGCGGACACTAGAGGAGAAAGCAACCTGGAGCCACATGAGCAGAGCAGGAACATTTGAAATCCAACATGCTGGCACACAGAAGCCACCCATGGATTTTGTCTCAGATGGCACAGATGCAGGCTCATGCACATCAGCTGCAGTTAATACATAGCGCATTCAGACAACCATCTCCAAGGACTCCCCAAAATTATATCAAACCTGGCCAGCTTCTTAGGAATTCACAGAGCAGGCTAAGGTAGTCAAGTGCCCAAATGCCATCCACTATCTAGGGGGAACCTAATTCTCTCCAGCTGGGATGCAAGAGATGCCACTGTGCCCAAAATAGCATCACAGACAGAGGTCCCTCCTTTCAGCCTTGCTAAAATCTTTATCCACATTTCCATGACAAGGACCAGAGCCGAAAAGATTTGGGAGCGACATGCGCCTATCTTCTACCCTGACGACAGGGATGCATCCCCACCTCCCTCTTCTCCTACCTGCTGCAGTTTGAAATAGATTCCCGCACGCGTGCTGAGCTCCCTGAAGAAAACCCCGGGCAGGACCCAGGGCTTGGTGCTGCTCCGACAGCCTGGCCAAATGAGACCAGCTCTTCCAGACCCTTAAAAAGCTCTCCAGACCACAGAGGTTTCCCTTCTGTCTCTTTCAAAGACTGTTTTCCCCTCCGCTGCCCCCAGTTTTGCAATGTCTTCAAATGATGCAACAGATTGTTCTCGCTACAGTCCAATTCAAACCCAGTCAAAATCCTCCCCTCAATTTCAAAGGGCTTTGAATCAGATGCTGCAACTCCTCTTTATGACTTTTTTCTTTCCTGATTCAGCCTCTTCGTCACAGCTCTTTCTCAGGTATTTCCCTCCTCCGTCTCTATCTCATCCCTCTGCTCCATTTCTGCTCCTATGATCCTCTTCAGATGATGGCTAGTAGCGGGGCTGCTCCCTCTCCAGCTGCAGACAAGGAGGGTATTTGAGGACCAGATAATGAAAAGGAACTTGAGAGACCTGCCCCCAAAAATCAGAGAGGCATTGGACCTCCCCTCCTTCCCTCCTCCAACTGAGCAGCAGAAAAGACAACACGGTGCCTGGGCACCCCCTCCACCCCAGCCTGTGACGCTCGATGTGAGTGAAGAGCTTGTGCTTCGTCGTCACACCATGAAGCGCAGCAGCCACCTTGGGTGCTTTCACTTCCCCGTGGAAGGTAAAAATACAGCAGAGCACAAAGCTGAACCTTCAGCTCTGCCAGGAAAGCAGATGGGCAGCGGGGAATCATTCCAAAGGGCTGGAGCACAGGGTCATTACACCTGAGGTTGAAGAAAGCAAACCCAGAGCTGCTCTGGGAAAGGGATCACTGGTAACGCTTCAGAAGACTGGCAGAGAAATTCCTCACTCTTCTTTCTTGCATTGCAAGGCTCAAGTCCAAGTCACCCAGGAGCTAGAGCTTCTATGGAGAAGAGCCCTTGAGATTTGCAGAGGGAAATGGATAACCAATTGCTTGCATTTTGCAAGCAATCAAGTTTTGGAAACTGCGAGTGCACTGCAGATGAATTACTATCCATCAGCCAGGAAACAGTTGCTGATCAGCTGCGCTCCTCGTGTAAAGGCAAAGAGTGTCAGCTTTGACTGCTGGAGGCTTTAAGCCAACTGATGTGATGATGGAGGAACCAAATACTTCTTATTTCACATGGGCTAAACACACACACATTCAGATAGCAGCATCTCAGCTAATAACGTCGTAGGATGTGCTGACCCATCCGCTCGACACCGTGTAAGCATACCGGCAGCGCTGCCACGCACTGTGATTTCTTCTACATCTGCAGGAAGCCCAGACAGAAGGCTGATGAAATCAAGGGAAATCCACACTGCTTTGAGGTACCTCTGCCACAACACTGCCCGGGTAGATTTGCAGCCACAGTGAGTAGAAGGAAGCATTGCCATGCCAAAAAAGGTGCAGAAACGCTACTCAGAGCCTACGCTGGGTCTGCAGTGGGGTTTTTTGGAGGAGGAAGGGGAAGAGGTAACAAGTAAGGATATTGCTACTGTAGTATAACACGGGCTGTGCCTCGACTCTGAGAGCAGGCTCGCCAGCAGCACCAACAGATGTATTTAGTATTTAGTCCATCAGCTCAGACTCAAGCTACTCCAGTATTGCCGTACCAGCGCTGGCTTCTTGGGAGAGAGCCGGAGCCAGGCTGGGGCGAGATCCTGGAATTTTGTCCTGCTGTTGGCTGCAGCTCCTGCTGCTCTGTACACTGGAGGTGATTGAGTGCAGCAGGGGTCACCAGGTTGTAGAGAAAAGGATGCAAAATAAGACACTGTCCTCTAAGATTCAGCAAGAAGATCCTGATAAGATTTGCCATCACTGGTTCCCATAAGCAGAGCGTGGCAATCCCCTATAGGAGCCAGACGGGGCAGACTGGTATTTCAGCATGACAAAACCACTCGCTTCTCCAGAATTTCAAGATACTGCAACACCAGTGAGACAGCAAAGCACAAGACCGGAGAGGAAGCGTGGCATCCGTGGCTGCTGCCATTTCAAACACTGGCGGCCACGTTTGAGCTGAACGTCACTTAAGCCGCATGTACACAATATCCTAATGGAGCAGAAGTGGGGAAGCCTGTAGCAACTCCCCCTCCCCACCTGATACGGCCCTTTCTTCCCTCCTCTCTCCCTGCACACCAGCCAGCAGGCCACATATTCCTGTACCACGGCATCTTTGTAGCCCTCTGGACAATAGCCAACGCTTCTCCTCCCAGATCGGGGTTGCATCCAGCCCTGCCTCACATTAATACCAAATGCTACCACAACACCCAAGGGTCTAACTCCCTTCCCAGGGCTAGCAGAGTGTACGATGACACTAATGACCATACAGCAGTTTCTCCCCTGCGTTTCTTTTCAAGACAATGCCAAAACCCAGACCGAATCCCTCTAAAGGAGGACCTTCTGGTGCGCTGTACGCAGCCATGTGGATTCGTGGTTTCGCTCCTGGCACCAAGCAGAGATTCCCCTGCTCCTGCTCGGGAAGAGCGCCCAGCAGCAGAACCACACCGGCTAACAGAGGGCTGCGGGGCAAGTCACACCAGCACCGAGCAGAGCCCCCCCACTGCCACCTGAGGAGCTCGTGGGTGTGCCTACGGACAAAGACACTGAAAAATGCAATGGAGGAGAGAAAAAAGGAAAGGCCCTGCCGAGGTTCTGGTCCCTTGTTTACGCCTCCTGATCCTACAAAGCACTGACCGTGGATCATTTGCTACAGGAGATTTGGGGGCACAGCACCAAACCCTTCCTAGGAACACAATACTATAATCATCCTTCCCCAGTCCCCAGGGCCCCCCCATTCCCCACAATTTTAAACAAAATCCTCTCCACCCGAGCTGCCTGCCTTATTTGCAGGCACAACCTGGACCAGTACCCAAAGCCGCATAAGCTCAGAGGGGCTAGCGGAGCTACAGCGGGGATTTGCCTGGCTGGGGTACTAATTAATACATCCCCCAGAAGATTGCTTCCTGCAGCTTTACTTGCTCCTATTACAAGCAGGGCACTTCTCACCGCATTTCAGGAATGACCTTCTCTGCAATTAGCCAGCACAGCACAGGGAGGGGGGCAGCTCTTGCCCCAGAGACGGACGCTTTCCTGCGTGGGATGGGAAGGATCGCACCAGGAGGTGGCTGGGAGCCTGGGGAGCTGCACGCAGCGAGGTGCTGACCCTTGCTTCACAGATCCGGTTAACGGTGCTGATATAAGGACACGAGCCTTGCCGTGGCACGCTCCATCTGCAGATTTCAGTGCCGTCTGTGAGGGAGGCTGGATTCACTAACTGTGTTTAATACACAGGAAGAAAATAATGCACCAAGAAGCAAAATAACTTGCCCACATATATTTAATACATTACCAGCAGAGCCAAGGATATTAACATCTATTTAAGCCTTGGCACTCCTCTCTGGGTTTTCCAGTGACTTTGACCCTCGTGAAAGCATGGGGAAATTAAACCTGTGTTTTGAAGTGCCTGAGCTCCACCCTCTCTCACACCAGCATCCACCCTCCAGCCCCACAGCAAGCAGGAAATATATTTAATCACCGTCAGTGCCACAAAATCTCAGGCATGCCTGTGCTACTATCAGCCCATACTGGGGGCTATTCCTGCTTGCATATTAGAAATAACTGTCGCAGCCGCACAGTGAGTTAGGCAGTTTTCCAGGACAAACTACACCTCTTTCTCAGCCCTGCAGGAGAGATGTTTTCTTCAGTACTGCCATTTTTAGCTGTGTTTCCTAAAGAAACTGGGTGTACACAACTGCACCGTCTTTCAGTCTCTCTCTAATAGCTTTTGAGCCCTTCTGCCAGTAGCAGCTCAGCTCTGAGAGGCAGGAGCTGGGTCATCCCTGCAAGCTTTGTGAAGATAAGCAGTTTTGTAAAAGCAAGTAATCCGCCAGGGCTGCTTTGGAGCCAAAAGCTGCAGGGTGAACACAACACAACCTTTATTAGAGACCAGAGGATCCGCCGTGGCCCGCTGCTCCCTTCCCTTCGGCCTCTGAGCACAGGCCAGCACAGGAATTGCACATCACAGCTAAGAGGAATGAGCAATGCTGCACACTGGATGCAGACAGAAACCCCTAGCAGGCTAATCAGCACAGGATAATTAGCGCTTCGTCTTCACCACCACAAAGGCCGCACTATTTGGCGATGCAGGAGGAGACAGGGCGAGGGAAAGGGAGTTAACCACCACACCACGCCAAGCCCAGCCGAGGCGGGAAGACAGGGAATCTAGGGGATAAAATAACCCAGGAATGTTCTGGACTTAGGAATTAAATGAGACGCGTTGTTAGAGTTTGCTACTCGGGTTTCCCCTAATTCACAGAAATTAGAGTATTTTCTGCTGGAACATGGGTTTCACGAGCCTGGGACTGTAACCCCAGCCAGGAGCAATTATACCCACCCAGCGGCATTTCCGACTCAAACGCAGCACAGGGGTGACAGAGGAAAAGCCACCTCGAGCTGTCAGCTGGTGCTGAAAAAGTCCCTTTCACAGATGGCACTATACTGGAAGACAGAGATTGCCCCCCTGCGTGCATTTGTCTGTCTGGCAGGGAGGAAAGAGAGTGCCCCTGGCAAAACTAATCCCAAAGGACTGGAGATCCAGACATCGTCCATCATCCATGAAGAGCCACCAACATCTTTGTTGTGCCCTTCTCCAGGGTCTGTCTGGGTAAGCCCCCAGCTGCTGCCTCCCTCCAGGCTTAGCGCATGGCCATGGGCTGGATCTGCGATCCACGTGTGCTCCTGGGGGGGCGGTTATGGAAAACAGAGGCTTCCACAGATACGTCTAGTGGAAAACATCGGTGTTAATGAACAGAAAGTGAGTTGTAGAGATAAAGACAGCTCCTAACAACCTGCCTGCGAAACCACCTCCTGGACAAGCCCTGTAGCCAAGCAAGTGCCCAGCAGCATCCCCACGTCTGGGCTAGGCTCGGGTCCTGCCAAGGGTTCACGTCACAGTCGCCATGGCAAGCACGGGCAGCGTACCCGTGCTCAGGGCACACTCACAC